AAAAAAAAAGAAAAATTGTATATTTGGTATCTTTTACTTTTATTTGTAGACGAGTAGTCACGGTGATCTGACGAGCGACCTATTTTACACGATCTAAAAAAAAAGAAAGTGGTATGTATAACAGCGTTAAGCTAGTACACGTCTTTATTTGATTTTAAAAATGTATCGTACATTTCCCACCTTTCACCCTTATTTCTAGACGCTGCACAGCAGACCGACTAGCAAAGTAACAGCAGCAGCAGCAGCAGTGCAGAGGGGTCCGGTTATTGGAGCGGTAGGTGTTATAATTTTAAGACAATACGTTTATTTAAATTTATTTTTATTTAAAACATTATGATGCTTTTAATACACAGAGATAATGGCACCACGAGCAGCTATGGAAAGCGGTGGGGACGACGTGGGCAGGGGGCGGGTCACCCCGTCGCCCAGGCCTGATGACATTTTTTATGAGGCCTTAAATAACGGACTATGCCTCCATGGATACATTTATGCGTATCGGTGGGAGGAGCTATGTGGGGGGTGTGTGAGCGAGCTGCCAGCGGACGTGCAGCCGCTATACACCTCCCACAGTATGCATTACATACTGCTGGATACCGAAATGGAGTTCAACCTGAAGAGATGTACAACCTGTGCCCGAAGCGCGCTGCTCGGGCACCCAGCAGCCAGTTGCCCAGGGTGTGTCCTCTATTATGAGGGTCATAGGGACACCCTGGTGCGCTTCGGGTACGGGGAGGTTACGCTAATTAGATCATAATACCATTTCGCATACGCATTATACCAATTTTATATATATTTTTTTTTAATCATTATACTTATTACCTACATTTAACCTAGCATAGTATTATATATATATTCTATTTTTTTTTATCATTATACTTATTATTATTTTTATACATTATACTTATTATATCTATATACATATTATATCTATTGTAACGTAATTTTTCTTTAACTAGACCCGACACCGATAACAAGACATACGGGAACGACTATCTTCGAGAACCAACCTACGTTACCTTCGGCCGTCCGCCCGTCGTTCGTGCATCCGAAAAATCACGTCACAACTCCCCACCTCTTAAGGGTGGTTGAGGCTTAGAGATCGAAACGAGAGCTAGTGCAAGCAGATCTGACCGAGAGCTAATTTTCTGATTAGAATATTTTCGTCGGTATTCCGACAGATTCGAGAACTTGGTTATATAAAATATTTTTTTTTTCTTTCGATAGCTTAGTATTCATTCCCCTGTTTACGGTCGAGAGCTAGATGGTGGCGGGGAAGATCGAAAACCAGCCGGAGAAATTTCTCCAGCTCGAGAAAATACCTTTCCGAAATTAATATTTCGGCCGATAGCTTGTCAATTAAGACATCTACTGATTTATTTCGTGAGCGATAGCCAGTTAGAACCAGTTTCGATAGCCAGTATTCTTATCCACCGCTGTGAGCGAGAGCGAGACAGAGTGAAAACAATAATACTTGGTAGATAAGGCGAGAACTGCCTGATAATTCGTAGGCACGAGAATATGTTTAAAGATTATCTCGAGAACTCGGTAAGTAGACCACTCATCACCTGTGCTACCTCCGTGGGGAGAGACGGTAGAGAGCACGTTACGATCGTGAGCTAGTTTTCTGGCCCTTCGGCCGTACTCTACTCGTGAACCGAAGTCGAGAACTATTTCAGGGACCGGGGTCCCTCCTGGAACGAGAAGGCAAAATACGATAATGCGATAGCGAACGATGTCTTACCCGCTGGTTACTGTTGAGAGCTATTTAATTAATATTTTGCGGGTAAGCCGAGATCGCGCGAGAGATGTTTACTCTCTCGGCTCGAGAAACGAATTATTATTTTTTTTTTTGTAGCGGTATCTTTTCGCATGGTCCCCTGACCAGGCTGCGAATTAATTCGAGAGCGTTGAATCGACTTGATGCCTTTCCGAGATCGTTTGCTTTCTCACGCGTGTTTACACGCAAGAGCCTTTTACCTTGTCACGGGAGCTGAGGTTGGTTATCCTTGCAGTCGTGAGCTAAGTCTAGGGACCCAGAACTGATTTTATTCGTCTTCGATAGCACGAGGTTCTACCCGCTAGCTACTGTCGAGAGCTAATTTCTGGTTTTGCTCGGGTAGATCGAGATCGCGCGGAAGCGTTAGCCCTGGCGCTCCGAGAAGGTATTAAGCTTAGCTTATTTCGAG